CGTCTACACATTTGTTTATTCTAATGACTTATCATTGCTTTTTGGACAAGAGTGAAAAGCATATATGATGTGCCTTCATACGCGCAAATAGGGCGTTAGGAAGGGTTACTTCATACATGTGTTAGCCGGATGGATGGGTGTCAGTTAGTTATTGGCATGTTGGCGGTTGCGGCTTCAGGCATTGTTACTAAAGTCATGCTGGATACTGACTCATATCCATTCTTGGTGCAAAAGACGTGTTGATCAAAATAGGAAAGACAAGATACTTGGTCCGGTTTTTCTCTAAACACCTGCATCTTATCCGCGGGTCCTCCTGGATGAGTGCTGGAAAAACAGTGACACGAACAATTCTCCAGAGCTTTATATAGTCTGTAAAATATATAATTGAACAGTGTGGACGAATGGAAGTATTAGCGACGACAGGAAGGATTTATTTTCCTGTTAGGAGAAACAGAGCTTGATTACTAGTTGTTGTGCGGTGGAAAAAGCTATGATGTCAACATGTGTGGGTAGTCTGGGGCCACTTATTACATCCTTGATAAAGCCCCCGCGACAACTTTATCTACGTGACGAGTTGCCATGTATCATTTACGAATCAGGTAAAAATAAAGACTAGGTTGTGAATTGTATTTGTCAAAGTCCTATCCAAAGTGTGTTAATGAGAGGTTTCTGGCGATCAAAGATAGGACATTTTCGTCCTTTTAATACACAAGGGCAGTGCTGAACGGCTAACCAAATTTGAAACGATTAAAGATATTCTTATTTGCCTTTTGAGAACATGTCAGCGATTACCAAATGTTACAAATCGGCTGCTGCAGGACTATTCAAGTTGTTTGCAACAAAGTTGAGTGTTTTGAATTCGACGTGGCGGATACTGAAGGCGCAGACCAATCTGTATTTAGCGTATGTCAGTGCGACCATCGTATAGAATGACAACATCGTATAAAAACGACAACTCAGTGTTGCCGTTCACCTGCTTACCCAAAGTAATTTTTACATTAAATTGGCACAACCTAGTGCGGATATGTGGTAGATCACTATCCACCATAGACCCTCATAAACCATTGAGTGGCAGCCAAAGTATTCAGGCCTGTAAAATCGCTAATCGGTCGCCCCCGTCCACAAACCTCCGCAAAGTCAAACAAAAGGTAACCCGTGGACACCTTTTCCGGCAGCCAGAGTACCGTTCTGCCTGATTCTTCATGCATTTATTTGGCAGCTGAGGCTGATGATTGACTTTATCGCGTTTGATGGTCGAAGATGACCGACCTCATGGTAGATGCATTTGACTACGACTTGGTTTATAAAATATGAAAGGCTTGATGTGAGTTTTCAAAAATATAATGCCATCTGAAAAATGGACTGAATTTTATTATGTGATCGTTGGAGCCTTGAAGTTGTTGTCTCAAACAACTAACACTTGGTGATAAAAATGACCATATCGACCCCCGAAGCTAACCGGGGGTTCCTGGATATGTGGGACTGCATCGTGATTTGGGAGGGCTGGCGTATTCAGAACCCAGTATTTCCCACACAGAATCAAGCCTCTATAACACTTGAGAAACAGGTGCCAAAAGTATGTTCAATGGCGAATTGAAGAATTTCTTTGCAGTTGAACCGTGCGCTCAGATTTGTGTTCGTCAGTTCATAATTGGGAAGCATATGGAAGTGGGCTTCAGAAAGGCGACAGATGTTCCTTGGAAAGCTGCGTCCCTAGCCAAAGGACGAACTATGTTTTGAAGAACAGTCAAATAAGTTGCTGAGCATTAGGCAAACTCGATCAGCTAGCAAACTGCCGGACAATATTCCCTTGATTTGAGGTTCATAACTGACCAGCTCAACTAAACTGCCCCGTTGAAAAAGTAGCTCTGAGATTTACGAGCCTACATTGTTGCATGTCATCCAACTGGTCCAAATTGTGTAGGAGTAGAGACAGTTCGTCATGAAATAACACTAAACGCGCCGAATCTCCATCCATATGGCTTAATTGAGATGCCATCATATTAGGATTTAACACCAACGCTTTGATATCGTGTGACAAGTTATTTGAAAGACATCGTTAAAAACGAAAACAAACGAATGAGAAATGAACCTATTAGTAGTCTGCCACAATCATTCCGAGTAGTATACACATCTACACGCTTATTCAGACAACCCGAGTAGGAAAGAATAACAGCAGCCTTATTGACATCGACTAACAGCCGTACCATGCAACGTCTCCAACCATGCACAAAGACGATCACGCGAGGCTAGATAGACTGCAGGCATTTTTCCTCTTATAAATCCATGGAACGTGTGAGAGAAAAACAAATGGAGTTTAAAGACGGAAAATGCAGATTTAAAAGCGCACACTAATAGGATTGTAAAGTTGGTTCACGCTAAAAGCAGGCCTTTCCATTTTGTTTCACGAATCCGAGGCGTAAAACTTTATTTTCAGTGGTGATACATTACTCATCGTTGACGTTTTCAGTGTTCTCGAAAAAAATACTTGAGCAGTGTGATCCTTACCTGTTTTGACCACAGCGCCGCACCGGGAGAAGATCTGACTACCCATCGTGACAATAGAATCTGCTGAGTAATACGTGAAACTAATTTGATTGGTCAAAACCTATAGCACGAACAAATCTAAGGAGACCCGTGATCTCAACATGGACTGGAAGACCAGGAGATAGGGCTATGCTATATAGTGTCCTCAGCGCTCAGACAGCAGTATAAGGAGTAGTCACGGAGTAATGTTTCACATCTTAGATGCATTATAGGTTGTGCATCGACTAAATGTTGAACATGTGGACTTTGTGTTATGTACTATTACAGCGAGGCTGTACATTACTTGTTCTTCGCCTTGGATCGAACGTAAGACAGAAAGAACTAAATATATTTCATCCACTCTGAAACTACTGGCTTATAATCAGTTGAGATTCTCAGAAAAATCAGGCTTACATGGTCCATTAACTTAAGTCAAAAATAAGTTAGTTCCAAATCAATGATGCGTGTGGACATTGTACGGGATGTAATCCGTTGTGGGTTTTCTGACTGAGGCAAGACGACCACAAGCTGCTCAGGAAGAGAGAATGAGAAATCGGCGGCCAAGCGATAAGAAAAACCCACTCGATGATTGTATTTAGTGTCCGAAAAGCTTGATAGGTGCAAGAAACATATGAACTCAATTTTTTAGGTTGACAAACAAGATGGCTGTTTTGGAACCGGAAATATCATACCAGAATAGATCGATGGATGAAGATGTCCATGCTCTTTGTTTTCGTAATAGAGGACAGCAGGTCAAAGGGTGAAACCGGGAAATATGAAATACTATTTTTCCCACGCTCAAAAGATATCTCATTCGTCCCAGTGTGCTTACTTCAGGAAGCGTATCTATCCACAATGCCATGCAGATGACTTGAAATTCCCGTAGAAAGCGGCTGGCCCTCTATTGTTCGATACGGAAGTATGTGACATCAGTAGAATTTATTAATTCTTGAGGCATATTCATCAGATGATACGGTGTATTGATCAAACCATATTTTAACTCAAAGAGATGACAATTTTGCTTCTGTGTCAGGCCTATAGACTACATAAGCGGGCATATTGACATTATCCAACCAGCCCTATATTAGTCATTAATGGACGCGGGTAACTGTTGCGGAACTGACTCAGAAGTTTTCGCGGTATAATTAACTTGGTTGCAAGAAATACTTCAGAAGTCTGCGGGTGCAAACTGCCTGCACGATCGCTGCCTCTGAGAAAAAACGTTGTAATGGTGCCTGGATTGCGCAACCTGTTAAGAAAAGCAGAATAAGTAGATCCTCAAACACGCCGTTCTAACTATTCAACAGATAACAAGATGATTAATGAAGTCAGATATTTCAACCTCAACTGGAATACCGGAGACAAAAATTACCGTACGATTCTACCGCAAAGAAGTCATACGGACATTCTATTGTGATAAAAAGGTGGCCTGAACCTATTACAAGTCACTCGTTTGAGAAGAATCCAAAGTACACCTCCGGTAGCTGCCACTAATCCCAGAGCTTCTCCAAGGTATTGCTATACCATGAAAATGTGTTCAACATGTCATTCGTAAATGGATGAATTCCACGACTATGTGCCAGCATAAGCCCCCTGGGAGTTCTGTTCTACCAGGAAACTGTCGCATGTGATATCACAAAATACTACTACAACCTCCAGCTGTTTGGAATGTCTCTTCGACGCTTCCTCCATGGATCTTGCACGTCTTCTTGTTGTTATCATAACCTGTAATCACATGATTATGAAATCCAGTATGCCGGTTTGGTTCTGGGGTGTTATACTGGAAGACTGTTGCTAAATCGGTGGAAAGCGAAGATATGTCTGGACGATTCCAGTAGGATGGCTCAAGTGGTTAGAGCGCGAATTTACTGACCGGAATGTCCGTGGTTCGAATCCGACCTCCGCCACTCAACTTCCCCTGTCTAGGCTTGGGCAACCTGACAGTATCCCAGCCCTCGTGCTTCCTTCGGGTGGCATGGCAGCTAGGCACCGAAGGGGCGCTACAGCTGAACGATTATTATTATCCAGTAGGATCCAGTGTTCTAGCGTTTGAACAGATGTGGTATTTACTTGACAAAACCGGATAGTAGCTGCCTCGATCCACAAGGATCCTTGGATGAAATACCCGCAAGCTGAGCGGCATTGACGAGACAAAACACGATGGTCATTTTCGAAGAACAACAATTGTCAGTTATACTCTGTGTGTGATTATCAAGATCAAATAACGACGGTGAAAAAAGCAATCCCCGACAATGCGAACAACAGTTTGCTTTGGCTGCCGGTAAAGCATCTTTACATTATTAGAGCCAGTGGCTGAGTGGATTGTGGTTCCTTGCAATCCAAACCAGCCTCTTAGTATCATTTCATCGTCTCAGTTTAATAACACTACAATACCCTACTTTTCAGAGTACAGACTGTTGAGGTGACAAGTGTTTGTATTTGAGCATCAATCTGTTCACCTACTATTCCAATCGATGTCCGGAGACAACGAAGCTGATTTGCTGAACACCACCGTCGACTCAAACCTTGGGATCACCGATCGTAAGGCAATGAAAAATCCAAACCCTAGGTTTTTTGCAGCATCTCTCACAGAGATCATCGTTGGATCACAGTTTTCCGGAATGCTATACACTCCGAATGCACCGGTATTTGTTAAAATAATTGGCATCAATGAATCGGGACATTCGGTTGGGAGTAAGGACCAACCACCAAGTTCAACCACTCACCATCACAGAAGATTCCGATTTTCGGATTCCAGTTGGTGAGATGCGTCACGTTCAGTAACCGTGCCTGAATTGGTTGCTAATCCTACAGGTATCTCATCAAAGTAACACATGGGAAATACGAATGGACAATGAAGAAGACAATAGCCGAATTCGGCACAATGAACAGTGCTGTTCGAAATCAACTACGAGTTCGGGTTTTGCTTACCCTGGGGTGAGGTTTGGTTTAAATTAACTCCAATACCCCCCCTTGTATTGATCACTAGACGTGGCAAACGAGTTCACGTCCCATACTTTCCATCAAAACTGGACATTCTCTTCCGCGGGAAAATGGCAGAACGAAAAGTAAGTCTTACCTATTCACAATGGATTTTCCCCATTAAGGGTATCCTGGAAGAGTACCTCCAAGGCGTGATGGCCTGTGATATATTGAGAACAATGGATGCAGTCGTGAGTATTCCTGATGCACTTTTTTGCACACGAATATAACTGAACTAACTTTACATCGCATCTTAACTTAGTGTTGTTTTGAAGTTATCTGAAAAGGCTTTCTCTTCATGGTTGCTTAGCAAGTTTTTCGATCCATGATTTTTTTTCATTGCTTGGTTACTTTTCGAAGATAGAAATGAAGGTTAACCTATGCAGCAAAAATAGTAGCAGTGATTTTTCTCTGAAGATGACATTTGTGGAATTGACAGATGGTCTCTGGTCGGATGGTGTTTAAATCAACCGCAAAGCACGGGTAACCTTGAAAATCTGGATCACAGGACGGTGCCGTTGAAAATTTAGCACCTTACTCTATCAGGACGAATCAAGTCTTAACTCTCACAAGAACTATATGCATGCAGTACGTAATGTGGATTAGGGCATTTAACAAGGTCATATGATCCTTGTGGCCAATATGCCATAAATTTATGACAATCCCCAGAAATCATGATCGACGGTTAGACGAGACTTCTAAAGACCTAAATGTGCTGAAGTCAGCACTAGTTAGTTCATATTCTTAAGACTAAAGGTGTATGCTGAGAGTGAAACAGTTTTCGACAAAAAACGTTTTGGGGCAATGAAAGTATAAAAATGACCCAGGATCAATTTACAGGTCAAATAAAGTTGCGGAGATAGTTGTATTGTATAATAGGATGAGTGACATTTTGTCGAAATAATTAAAATTTGATATGGTCGTAGAGAAAAATAGGTTACCGTCTATGGAAAAGGCCATTTCCAAAGTACTGTGCCTCCACAAACAGCAAGGAAGCGTCGATGTCAGTGACTCCAGGTATAGCAATACTTCAGTTTTATGAGCTTCTAAGAATTACTTAAACCCGGTTCATATCTCAGACCTATTCTTAACATATTCAATTCCCACTAAGATTTGAAAAAATGGCTTGACAGCCTATTAGAACTGGTTGGAAGAGAAAGGTCACCATGGTTTCATTCCTTCTAGGTTAGTAGACGGATTGGAGTTCCAACGGTCGAACACCATCAGGTTTTCCACTGGCCTCGTAGTAATATGTAGTAACGTGCGTTCACGGATATTAAAGATTAGGTTCGCGACTTGATTGATTGCATTGTTGAAGAAAATGTAAAACCGACTTTCGATCACACGGAGCTATTCCTGCTTTCCACCTGCAATAGTTCGGTTTCGACAACGAAATCTGTCAGCTCAAAGATGAGGTTTGTATGAATCCTTTCTTCAGCTTCTGTCCGGAAGTCAACCTGGTCCCCACTCTAGGCTGTCCAGGTGAAGTTTGCCTGTCGTTGTGCTCTGGGTTCACATTTGGTCAACGTGACTACGTGCACAGTATCTCTGTGGTTTTCAATGATAACATCGGTACAACCGACTTGCTAATAGGATCAGGTTAGTCCACGCCAATAGCAAGCTTAAGTGTGGAAGCACAACGTAGCGGTCAGTTAGAATTTCTGAAGATGGCCTATGACTACATACAGCGCAAGATCCATTTGGACAGCCCAGTATACCGGATTCGGTAACTTCGGTCCGCTGCCACAAATTAGAAACCTCATTAGAGATTTACAGGAAAGATTGATGGAGATGCATTTTCCCGACTAGAGCGAGTGCAAAATGAAACAGCTAATCGATGTTAGTTTCAAGATTTCTGGAGGTATTAGTCCCCAATGAATGCTTGTGGTAAGCTGGCACCATGCCGTTTTCAGTTCCTTTCTGGTGTTCCGTTCATCACAGTTGACTGAATACCAGTGTTCTCATTCAAATTGAAGATGACAGGAATAAAAAAAACTCCGATCACATTTTCGCATATCCGCTATCCTCAAAGACTTACAATCAAATGCACCCAGTTCATGACTCAGTGTACCACACAGCACTCACTCATCTACATCAAATCCTTCATCTGATGTAGACGTACTCGGTGAAATGGCTGTTACTTATACGACCGTCAGTCTGTGCATGAGTTTAATTTCTAGCATTGTTATCATGTTCCGTTTGAGGGACAACATTGTGTACTTATGCATATGCTTGGATGAGCATGTTACGTTGGTCGTACGACGAGGCGTTTGTCGGAGAGAATACGCGAAGCTTGTCTGTTCGAAGCAAACGATTTTGCATACTTTTCAAGACTACTTTTTCTATTGTGAAGTCAAACATGGATTTCGAAGATGAAATACAAAGTCAACTGCTGTCTTCACTGATACCAACCATTTTACCTGAAACTACTCCTTATTTAGTTAGTCCTGGAATTGATCGATTTGATCACTGCCTGCATTCTGAGTCGCGTGGATTAACTCTATGAATCAGTGTTGTTTGAGAATCAGCTACTGGTGCTGAAGAAACCTGTTTGCAACACAGCGGAAGATGCCGCTTATGTTGGCAAGCATTGCTGTACGATCACAACCGAACATTCTTCCAGTGCTACAAAAGCTTGACGACGGAATCTTGTGAGTATTTTAGCCTCAGCAATCCACACACACTTTGGTCCAGTAAGCCGTATAAACAGTTTTAGGTGTAAGTGCGTGCTTGTATTAAGCTGATTTGCATGTACATGCAAATATATGTACGTATATGTATAAGTGATATGATATGCTTGCGCTTGCGCTTCCTCCTTGGCTGCCGACGAAATGTTTTTTTAAGCTGAACGCCAAGCTCGCTAAACACACTAATAGTATCAACTAAAGGAATTTTCAGTTAGGTGTTCATGCACATCTTGTGATCACTGGTTAGGGAAGACAGCCCGAAATAGCTAAGGCGCGAACTTATTCACCGGAAGGTCCGTGGTTCGAACCCAACCTTCCGTCTACGCTTGGCTGACCTGACGGTATCTCAGACCTCGTGCTTCCTTTGAGTGACATGGCAGGTTAGCACCAAATAAAGTTGAACACTTATTATTTTTACTTAGGGAGGAAAGAATGAAGGCGTATATGTTGTCACTGCCTACACCCGAAGGGATGGAGCATACCACTTCTAGTGTGTCATGCAACGGGTCAGTTTTTGTGCTCTCTAGCCATCATAGGTCTGAAGTGGAAGGCTGTAGTTTTCTTAACTGTACATCTTGGTGACAAACGAGGCAAGAATCGAGGAACGACCTGAAGAGCAGGTTAAGACTTCGGAAACAGTCAGTTGGAGGAGATGTCTTAGTAAACTCATGAGGTTGAACCGGACGCTGTACAAATTTCAAAGTTACTGTTAACTAGACGTAGCACACCAACTATAAATTTGCTGAAAGCTCTCCTTTGAATACCACCCTAGTATGCGAATGAGATATTTTTTGACTTTGTGTTAACTATTTCCCCAGTTCCGTGAAGCGTGCACTACGAAGTGCTGAATTTCTTAATGACACACTGCCTATTCTGAATCTGTTACCTGTCACTACATGTTCAATTAAATATGCGGTGTAGTGTACAGGTTTAACGGAAAGAGCGCCTGACTAGCTTTTAGTATGATTCACCAGTCTTGTATCAAAGACACTCGAAACGTTTGGTTTACCAAACTGTAGCCGTCAACATGATTGTGCATTAGGAACACGGCGTGTTTCGTGCAACTTATGCCTATTGGATCGTATCAGCATACAGTTGTTTCATGTGTGACACAAATTTGGGCTTACCTATCACTACTCTCGTCAATCAAACAATCCACATCTGGCTCACATCTGGCTGGCTCACCCCAGAGCCACGATGGGCTTACTGCAATCACCTATGTTTTGTCTTATTTTTCCGGGTAGGCCTTGCACCTACTACTCTTGGTGACCTCCATGAGGTGAGATGCATTGTCCCCCCTGGATTATACACATGTTATGGTTGGGTTCTTCGTTGTCTCGTCGTAAGTGAAAAAGCTGGAACGTAAGGTTGTGTACAAAATACACTCATTGAGGAAATTAGGGTAACAGTCTCTAAACAGTTATAGTATAAAGTACTTGCGTAAGTCGATGCCGAAATGGCATTTTACAAAATCTTTATATCTAATGCTTCCCACTGTAACGGCTCACTCGTTACAGTATAAGTACTTGCGTAAGTCGATGTCGAAATGGCATTTTACAAAATCTTTATATCTAATGCTTCCCACTGTAACGGCTCACTCCTTCCAAATTTTTTGTTAAACTTCATTGTGTTATTTACCTCCTCTTCCCGACATGTGACAGACTTTTCTGATATACTGGTTTCTATTATTAGTAATCAGTCTTGTCCGGTAACTGGTTGCTAAAGTTAGATCTTTAAAATGTGTCTTCAAGCTCACAGAAGTACAGCGCTAAAACACGGAACTCTCAGCAATGTTTGCTAAGGTACATCCATCCTCATATGACTTTGTATTTCCCAAACCTCATGTTTGCGGACTGTAGATGGAACAGTCAAAAAAAGAGATTCCCAAACCTAACAACGCGATTGTCTGCCACCGTACGAACTACTACAATCAAAGTCACCACAAGGAGTACCGTAGGAACTCACCATCCCTGTCCATTTCTTAGCTTTATTTACTGCCACCGATATGCTTCCTCGTGCCTTTGTGGATGAATGATACGGGGTGGCATCATGTTTTTGGCTTCAAGTTTCTTAGAGGTGGCGGTGGTATCGGGTAGTTCTAACGAGTTCGTAACGAGGTAAGTGAAACATGGATGCACATCAGTGTTTCAGTAACGAAAGACATCAGGTCTTACCAGGTTTGGTGACTCGACCGTTTGCTGGGTATGCCAAATCACCGGTGATCGAGGTGGGTGTTAGTTTCCCTATCACCTTTATGATACAAACTTCGGGATGAACAAGGTGTGACTGGACAAAAGGGTATGAAGAAATTCGGAATAGTTTGAGTACTGTTGGTGCAGTCCTCCTTTCAAGATTGGGTTAACTCGACTGTGTTCGTGCTTGTTGAAGACATTGCGGTGTATGGTGATTAACTGTCATCCGTAACGTTCATGCTATGAGTTCCTCTCCGGATGGACATTTGGAGGTATGCGCAGCTTAGTGTGGTAGGTTGGCACAAGTTCCCTCCCCTATCGACTCTCCCATCCTCCGCCCAATGAATTTAGATCTAATTACACATGTTTTCTTGTCAGTGTAATATCAGCGTTGATGTGACAGCCTGAGATGACTACGTCCAAAGTGATCTACCTGAGCTGGCCCAACGGATTTGTATTCTTAAAAAACCAATTGTGTGGTGAGGTAACATCGTTCAGCGGTGGCGTTTAGGGTAACAAGCGTCATGCCTTACTGAAACCTGAAGAGCGGATTGTATAAAAAGTTTGGCAATCAGCAAAGCAGAGTGCGTAGCTGAGCAATAATCCAGTGCCATTGTTCCCAACACGCTGCTCCACGCATATTTTCGAAAGAAAGCGTTCGTGAAACCATAGCAGCATCACACGTGAGACCCATACCGTGAGATTGTAGATCACTACTTTGAAGTTCCATTCAATGGCACCAAAACTATCAAGGTACGAGTTTAAACAAACGGACTGATCAAGATTACAGTGTTCACCTGTGTGCCGGCTTCTGACGGCAGCTTCACACGTTCCGTATATCACCGAACCTATCATACTGTCATGTCAGTAGCAATTCTCTCTAAAAGACCGTTTATTTTTACTACTCATGTCACAGAAAAAGGCCCACAGAGTCCATCACTCATTCATGGAAGTGATGCTTTTTGCGGTACCGTTTACTGGGGCAGACCTTGTTCCTGAGCCGTCTGTCGATGGGTTGTATCTGTCACTACCTAAACGTCGTCCCCAAAATACACAAACAAGTGAAAAACCATGCTACCAGTATGTCTCTATCCACTCGATGGAACCGTTTAAAGACGAATCTTGTGACTGAACCAATTTCGGAACTGATAATATTCACTATTAACCGGACATGCCTCGGTAAATTTTGTCTGATGGCTTGTTGGGTGTTCAACAATTAATCACTAGATATAAGATAGTAATGGGTTCAACATTGTTCGTCTTAGTATGTGGACTTTTTTGAGGAAAACGCATTAATCAATTTCCCAAGCAATACATCGCTTCCGATACCATTAGTGGCTGTTGATCTGTCCTCCAAGCTTGCCAAGTATTTTTGAGTAGCATTTGTCAAGCTTGCTGAGCAGATTGACAACCAATACTACTATGTTGGTTCCACTCTAACAAATCATACTGTTATACTGACGGCTGGGACTTCACACACATAAAGTAGATTGAGAATAATCAGAGATTTCCGGTTTTACTCTTGCAAACACTGACCAATCCTGTGAGGAAATCAGGAGGGATGAGCACTGACCATTACAACAGGTCATTCCTAGGGGACAAGTCCGAGTTTCACCTTACGATTATCGTTGACACCTCTTGGAGTAGGTTCGTATAGTTACACACTTGGTTTACATCGGATCCTAACGTATGAATTGTGGGTACCAGAGCCAGTTGGCTCGTTACGAAAGGCGAAACTTGAAAGGCTAAACTCATTGGACGTGCGTAAGTACAACTGTCATAGTATCATCGAGAAAGGGTGGGGTCTAGGTTGGCCAATGAAAGGACTCAGAAGTAGCCTCTCGATATGCAGTCATTGGGTAAATCAGTACACCTTGTCCATGAGGTATGCCAAACACTTGATAGAGTCCATGGTCCTTGTCCAAAGTAAGAAGACTAGGTATTTGACCTTCTCTGTTATGCTGTAGACCAACTGGTGTGTGCCTTTGTGTCAAAAAGCTGGAAGCGCTTGTGTTTGAGGTTCTTTGAAAATATGCCTTTTAGACCAAACTCGGTCGTTACGGAAGTACTTTTGGAATATTTTGTTAAACTGTGATTGGCAAAACCTCTGATTTGAGAAAGTGTCGGTACCGATGAACTTGTCCAAACGGCCATTCTATGTATTCCTCAGGCCCGAATGACTGATGACTATCTTAAGGTTGTTGGTAGCTGTTCATCTACTGTATTATATTCCAAACGCAGTGGACTAGGATCATTCCAGATAACCGTAGTTGGCATTTTCAAATCTCATTGCAAAACGTCTAGTCCATATATTTTCTATCTCTGAATTTCATATCAGTGCACACTAAACGTCACAGCCATTGCTGTACTGTTCCAGTGATGACTTTGTACAAAAATTGCATCCATAACCATTTGACTAACACAGCTTTGAAAGGCGAGGTTCATCGATGCTATTTACTGAGTATTAAAAATCTGTGTTGGTTTCACTCACTCACTCTCTCTCTCTCTCTGTAGGATGTACGCGAAGCGAAGGTCACTCCTCTCAAATGATTGCACTGCTAAAGCCAGCTGATGACTAAGCTAAGCAACCTGACCATCCGTGACCCGATATTTAGCAAGTGGTGGACTAGGAATTCAACCGCATGTTTTAACAAAGATGTAGTCAAATCCTGGAAATCTCAGCTGCGCGAAGCATGTGTCTCATCTCTAACTGCGTTCACAAATTGACTCGTTTGCCACCGACCATAAGCTGTTGACAAGGAACACCGGCAGTTTGTGGCTATTTTGTGCAGTTGGTGTCCACACAATTCTTGAATGCAATGAACCATATCATGGTGCATGTCGCCCACCAAAACACAGCAGAGCAGGATTGGATTTTCTAATCCAACTTCTTCGATGCCATGAGGTGGTGAGATGGCTCAGTGGTTAGAGCACGAATTCACTCACCAGAGAGTCCGTTGTTCGAACTAGAACTCTGCTTCTAGACTTCACCTGTCAAGGCTTGGGTAACCTGGTAGTATCCCAGCCCTCGTGCTTCTTTTTGGTGGCATGTCAGTTGGGTACCGAAGGGTACTACAGCTGAAACACGTCATGGGAAACGACACAAAACAAAGGATAAGGGCGAACTTTAGTGTCAATTTGCGTGACAAAAACAACTGAAACCATTTCTCCATTGTGTTTTCTACGAAATCATAGTTTTTGAATTGATAGCGTGGTAGTTTTGTGAACAAAAACGTCAAAAGTTTGTTTATTTTGCGTGATTAATGAGGTGGCCAATGTGTGAGAGATTTTTACTGCATTCACCTCCAGCATCTGGTGAACGATTTCGCTATGTCGCTTCGTAGACCAAAATGATCAACTACCGTATCTGCACACGAAAACTGCGAATTATCAGGCGGTTTTTCAGCGGTCACTCACCAGATCACGCATCGAAAACGCTTAAATCACACACCAATTACTGTCCTACTTGCAACCTTAGCTAACGAAACGTAAACTACAATTTTTGTGTACGTGGCTACCACCTGCGTCACGCGTCAGGCTTACGAACTTTAATCACAGTAGGTCAGGTTTTATTCATGTTCGTGCAATTATCGGACACGAATGGACATCCCCCTTTTCACACTACACACAGTAAATAGACATGCAACTCAGACCAAAAACAAACTAACTTATTCCGCATTTTAGTACCCAAATTATCCTGGTATAGAAGGAGTCGTAGGATGAAAGTGGTATTTCACTGATACCAGAAACCCGAAAATTTCCGCAACATCATTAGTCGACTACTCACTGTCGAACTCAACTACCACTGGATTGACGGCTTTCTTCGTTGATTCGGGTTATTCAAACACCACAACACTCTCCTGTTTTCCTTGACCAGCCCTTCCAAGGGCAGCGAGTCGTACAGCAGCTGATAAGGTCTGGTTTTACTTTCTACCTTGTGTACTAGCTCCCCTGCAACATGGTTACTTTAAATCACACAATGCACATCACATGCCTGCATCGGGGGCCCAAATGAATAACGTAAGAAGGGAAAAGGCCTGTAGAGATGAAAGTTAGAGATCAATGAAATATTTTTACCACACTGAAGACGATCATAGTGACCCTCCCTAGGCTTAGGTCATTCCTGCGTTTCTGTGTTGGGTGGAAACCACCCCTACGGTCAGATCCTGCTAACAGTACTTGGTCGTGTTGCTTTATTTAGCAATCGCGGTTTATACAATGAATTATCCATTCAACATGAAGTCAAATAGAATACATGTAATCGGTCTCACTGGTGCTGTAAACATTGTTTACCAGTTGGGCGCACACAATCTTATGACTGAACACGACTCATGCCATTGGAGACTGTTCAACAGCCAACTGCTAGCTTCGTCCCTGTTGAATCCCACCAGTTATGTCTAACATCCGGATCTGCATCGACCTGGTTTCATAGTTGACGTCGTTTGCATCAGAAGACCAAATTATCACCGCCATGTCCATAAAATCCAAACATACTCTTTCATGATTACTTCTCTTTCAGAAAACTGAACTTCAGACCATGTTCATACTTTTATGCCTGCTCGGTTTCCTCTAAAAACAGATAAGATTTTTCGAGATATCGCCAGTCTCCTTCCACGAGCGACTTGGTCTGACAAAGTGGAAAGAAGACTACGTGCACAAACTCAGCTCGAACAGGCTCCTACCGCTATGTTGTACCAACAAATTTTGTAGACAGTCAAGGTGAGCTTTAGGTCGTCAAAGTGGGTTATTTGTGCTTGTGAAATTTATCATGAGTTTACCATACAAATCAGAATGTTCGCTCCTCTTTCTAGTTGACCATAGAGTGGTTTGTGTTTCACCTTTGGTATGGATGATGCATATATGGTTGTGGTCCTCCGGGGATGGATGGAAAACTGTCTCACAGTTCGTAAAATGGTTTCAGGACATTAATGTTCCCCATGACTTTAAGAGGGTTTATTGAGCAATGCAATGAAGAGCTGTCTTATCCATACTTGGGCTCCTCATTACAACACGCAGCCAGGTAGAAACCATGGTGCAGCACAGGCGTTTTGCTACACGTCCGTGGTACAGAGGTTGGGTAGTGGATCACAAGATGTGTATAAAGCCCGTCGTGACTGTTTTCGTGGCTGTTGGCAATTCATCTTCAATCTGTATAACATCTCAGACTCTAGTTTTGTTGTCTAAAATCGAGAATATCTATCGACTGGCAAGCAGACTGGTTCCGGATAGCTGGTTATCTGGCAGTTTCACACGGATGGTGCATTTGTATGCGGACTAGACTTACTTGATGAGCCCCGACTGAGACAAACTGGTGGTAAGCTGTAGAAGGGTCTTCAGCAACCATATGAATAGTTGGCTTCGGTGAGTGTTTAAATCCCGTGGTTCCATCAAGACTGTACAGGGAAAGATTAGCGACCTTCCATGGCAAAATTTAACTATGATTGTAGATTGCAGCATTCTGTCTTGTCTCTGAGCTCAACAATGTTTCACGGATTTACTTTGATGTCTATGGAAACATCCCGACAATTCGAACTGGCATAATTCTGCCGGTCTATTGATATCGCTAATTCCATGCTATCCGTATTCCGGAGTATAGGAAGTAGCATTTTCTCATTCATATCAAGGAGTCGATTGCTTGCAAAGCTTCTCGGAACTCGGTTGCTTTTTCCACAAAATTGTGGCGTTATGCCATTATTCCTTCACCTGCACCAGCTACGTGTAATGCATTTACTTCACTCTCTCTAGTAATAACGTCGGAAACACGTTAAAGTTTTGTGTGATGGTTGTGAAGTTTCACATTCAGGATAGTCACACAGTGTGAATCAGTAACTCATCCCTTCTTAAAGTTGATATGACGAACCGAATCAGGGGCGGTCACGAATTGTTAGTTGTCGAGGCGATTGACTGCTCAAGATGATCTTGAGAGTTCGTTTGGGGTCAACAGATCGACCTGTGGATATCACGTTTGTCTTTCGACGAGGCCGGTTCAGTGTTTCTGTGTTACATCACGGGTCGTTTCTATTCCTTGACAGCCCTCAGTAAGTTCGATACGTATTTGGCTTCTATTTGTTCAAGATAGCACTAACTGGATCTACCTAGGCACGTTACACAGCATTCACAAAACGTTGATTGATCAAATGAGAGACAGAATTTTTAGACAAACATCGGGTACAAGGTTGGATGTAGGGGTGCCTGGTATGAATGCAGTCACTCTCGACAGAGCCCGTGGTCCAAGGTTAGCGTAACCATGATCTCCCTTGACCAGCATTCATAAATAAAGTAAGTGATGAGTTTCTAAAAGGCCAAAAGTAGTAGCTATCTGCAAAGAGTTTCGGACAACCACTTAAGCAATGTCGAGTCAGGTAAAAGTTTCAGAAATCGGGACAAGGAAATACTTCTATCTACCGTGTGTTTAAACGAGCTGTTCTAGGTGACTATTTCACGATGAACACCTTTCAGAAGTATATCATACGTGCATAGTTTCATAACTTGGATGCACAACGCTATCACGTATCCTAGTTTACAAACTCACATAAAATTAAGTGACGACTGATAAATGTAAGTAGAATGTGGGCTACATCTATGATGCTGTTATATCTGCTATATCTAGGCACCCATTTAATGGGATAAGTCAAAGACACTGGGATTTTTAAATTTGCTCTTATTTCTGTGATCAGTTTATTATTAAATAGGTTTGTTTGCACACAGAATCTGGTCGTTTTCAATAGCACAGCAGTGGAATACCATTCTCTGGTTGTCATACAATTTCGGAGTCTTGCAACCAAAAAGCACGACCACTGACAGTCAATGATAATTCCGTATTAATGAACCCAACCAAACGACCTGCCTGTCAGTTTTTGTGAGGCAAGCTTCAGCAGTACCTAATTTGTACTATAACTCGAATTCCAGTAGAGGTATTAAACTTCCCAACTCACTGTGTTTCAATCTTTCCGCTTAACACTATCAACAAACTACAACAAACACAGAACGGAGAACATCCAACGATCGCCTGACTCTCCCATCTGAGAATTCGTCACTCAGCGGGTTAGTCAAGTCCAGATCAAGTGAAACGAGCTGTGTGACTGAACGATAGTGGCGCTACACCGTGTCTAAGTAAGGGCTGTTCATAATGCTGATCAGCCATTCTTGGCTGAGTGACATATTGTTCAACTACAAACCGAAGATGCTAACACAAATCTCCCCGCTGATGCATACTACTAATAACGTCCTGTATGGATGAAACAGTTTCAGCATATACTTACTTCCCGGCAAGGCCGTTGGTTATGCACTACTGATAAGCTCAAATGAAAACGAAACCTAAGTCCAGTGCACCCCCATTTGGTGTGGACTCACCAGAATAATTACGCCAGTACAGGACGACGACTATTCAAACGAGAGTGATGTGAATATGAACAATACTACTGACTTCATTTACAAAATCATGACAGGACTGTAGTTCCAATTAACAGTCGCTGGAGCGTGTGCTCCAATTAGTTTACGAAGGCGTCACAATCTCTAACCATTAGGTCCTAATTCACTGTAACAGTCCAACACCGTAGCCTGTTTTCTTATCAAACTTCATTCATGCCTCTTGACCCAAATTTCTTGACCTTAATTCTTCCATATTTTAATTGCAACTAACTCCTTGGAGTAACGAAGTTCTAGGCAGTGTTGCATTGAAGGTGGGATGCAAAACTAGCCAGAACCGTGTTTTAAGCAGTGTTTGAAAAGTATAAATATCACCTGCAGTTTCACATGAATGAGTAGACATAGTATACTAATTTTTGAGGATGTTGAGAGGCAAAACAGTCAATAACTAGCGGAGGCTTCTGACCTAAGGCGGCTTATTTTCCCATCCGATGGATTAATTTGGGAGCAATTACTTGTTGATGTTATGCTTTAAACAGACAACTCAAGCGTCTTTCTCCACACAAAACCTGTAATAAGGCTGCCAAAATTTCCTTGACAGCCCGTCACCGATTTCGCTGTTCTTGAGGTGTAGTTCCTGAGTTCCCGTCAACTTTATTTCCTACGTGAATGCCAAATTGTATACTACTGTATACTACTTCAAGCATTTGGAAACTAAGTCGGTGTTAACTGAATACTCAACTTAATCCTAACTAAAACTCTCTGAAGAGTGTAGTTAGCAAACCATCCACATTGGGTCTAATTCTCTCTCCCGCTAGCACTAACTGAACGTCTACATGAGTATTACCCAAGAATTACCTGACAAAAGCTGGTTAGACATGCGTTAGGAAGGCGTTTATCCACGATACAAATGAGAAAGATCTAACTCTAGACAGACAATACCTCAGCAGAACTCACGCTTCAAAGGACATCGTCACTATTTGTCCCTGAATAGGAATTATTTCCGCGGAGAGATCATTTGGGAGCCTACTAAATGTGTATGGTTTATTTTCAATGAGTGCAAAATAAAGGAACGGTTGTGGGGAGGTAGTTGAGAATTAGGCTTGATGAAGAGCAAATTTCTCCTCCCAAACTTATATGTCGTTTGCTGGGCATACCATACGTCTTCAGTGTCAAGTTGTTTGGCCTTCAGTGAATTTTCGATGGTGACTCCACTGTGTCTGGACCGAAATCTAAGGATGGCTTGGTGATTAGGTAGGGTGTCCGAAAGAGGGTTCATCCTCCAGCATGAAACTGGAGGAGTTTGTAACCTATCGAAAAGTTTCATTTGACGTCGCTCCGTTGTTACACTTCAACTGATTTTTTATTGAGATGTCTCGAGAGCACCGGGATATCTGAACGTGAATTGTGTTTAAAGTCCAATGGCATTAATTACGTACAAAATGCCACCGGAAACTATTTTTGTTGATTTTTACAGACAACTTGATACCTAGGGTGAGGAAACATGGTGTAATGACATATGCACCCATAGCTTTATGATCAGTCACCCACTAACCTTGTGCCGAAAACATGGCCCTACCAGCGCCACCTATGGTGTATGGCCAACTGATCTGTAAAGAGAGAGATGTCTTCCGTGCAAACCATCTCGCTCTCCTCATTATTACTGATTCGATATTCTCGCCAGATCGTCACAACGCCTCAGGGATCCCAACGGTCAAACAGAGTCTTTAGAGAACTCCGCACGTAGCGGCTAAATCTTTGATCCATAAAGTGAGGCAGATCAAACAGCAGCATTGTGCACTCTAATTTTGACAGTCAAAATGGCATTATGTTGACGCCACAGATGTCGAAGGTTGGCAAAAGCTGCTCTGATCTTCATGGTTTCAGAAGTGATTTTGTATTCCGATAACCCATCGAGACTTACAGAGGTGCTCAAATAGGCGAACCTATCTACCAGAACCGATCGACTATTCCACAAGCATGAAATTTGGACTCGGTTCCACCCAGTCTTATGGTATTACTTTACACTTTCCAGGCGTAAACAGCGTTCTGAGCAATGCATTTCTAAAGGGTCTGATCTAAGATGAACAATGTCGTCGACTTAGTTGATATTCGTGAGAGAAGGCCGCGCGCATATTTTTTCATCCCCAAACTGTTGCAGACAGGCAAAGAAGGCTTAAACAGTACGTCGATTAAAGAGCCACGTAAAAAAGTGCCGAAATGGACACCATTGCCTGTCACCACTGGATGTGCTTAACTCAAAAGAGAGTTTAAAGAGTGCATGATGCGAGCATTTTGGACCGGGTGCTTTGTTACCCTGAAGCAGTAGTCAACTCTCATCTTGGTTCCATTCGGGTGTATTTGATCCTTTCAGAGGTTGGAGAGGCCAGCTGAACTGTTCTTTAAAGCGTCTGACCATTGTCCAAGACAACATTCCCGCGAGTGAAGTGGGGTTCTGTTCTTTTCAGAAAGCTTTATGTTTTCATTATCTGGCATTTGGGGGATTTGTGTTCACCATCAATTGTTGCTGGTATGATTTTTCTCGCATCAGTGAGATCTGCTGATCGTTCAAGCGAACTCGAGCAGGCGGTCTGAAGTGCTATGACCATGGCTCTTTTTAGCTTTTTCCAGTAGTAATCAAAATCATCCGGTCAAGTGGCAGAAATGAACAGTAGCTGGCTGTCACACTGTATAACCGAGTGCGGGCCCGCTTGCAGTTCATGGCCTCCAGTCAACTCTGTGTGCGCATGTAATCAAAAGTTGTGCTGGCTAAAGAGAAACGACATTCAGAATATTACTGTGTATTTGATCTCTTAAGTCTGTTTGGTGAGTGTTAACTCGGCAGCGAAGACGGGCTTCCTCCCGTCTTAGGTGGTCGATCTGAATATTTAAATCACTTGCTAGACTCATGCTATCTCCGCTTCTTGCTGACCAAAGCAACTGTGACAACAGTCGATGGGAGCTCTCCTCTGCCTAGAGCTGCCATCTGCCAGAGCGTACGCTGACAATAAATAGACGCCGTTTGCCACAATGAAATGTCATGATCTCAGCTGAACAGCACGAAGTTGGCTATTTGCTGAGAGCAAACTCAATAAAACACACTCAGCCTTTTGCCTAGGCACAAGTCTCACGTCGTAGTTTCAGCGACCATCTGCGTCAACATCACCAGATAACCGAAGGATAAATTACGAGAAATGTGGGTTCTTCCCGAGTCGTCTGAGGAGCAACATGGAGCAACCGACTACAGGAGAGCAGAAATCAGCGTTTGTTAGAACGGCAGCCTCGTCCACCATCACCTGTAGGTCTCCGCAAAATAATTCTCCCCTGCAAGTCACCGGTATTCGACATTCGGAACACCTTACTAGATTACCACATTCCGCATGCTTCGAGGGTTCATTTCAGTGGAAGAGTTGGGTTGCAGCATATCTGCCACGTACGAATTCCGCTGCTTTGGTTTGTAACCTAATAGACGCACAGGTTCGATGAGTATGTGATGACTAGTGTCGCTTCAAAAAAACAGTAGCGGGAATTCTTGGCTCAGTCACCATTTGGGGGATTATCTGTGGACCTCGGGAGAGTACGGCTAAAGAGGTTTGCGGAAGCTTCGTTAGCTTCAGAGTTGGCGTTTTTTGTTTCGAACATAATACGAAAATGTGCTTTTTCCGAAACAGTATTCGATACTGGCACGACTGGTTGATCCGCCAGTATACCGGACTGGAGCGAACAACCCAACTGGCTTGGTTTCTTAGGCACATTAATTTAGTTTATGACTGCATAAACACATCCCCCGGAAGAGATTCCACGCTTTTTGTCACGCAAAACGGATATAGAAAGTTTACTGGGACGGATATCTTCTAACTCCAATAAAGCTGGGATTCGTTGTGGAACATGCGTAGTTCCTGATTGATTGACTATGGGCATTCATGTCAGCGTCTTTTCCGGAACATTTTGCTTACAACAATATGGAATGATCTGTCAAATACAATCCTTTGTACGCCCATCTGGTGTCGACGGTAGACTTATTCGAATCCATATTGGGATACAAATGAGTGAATTTAGTGAGTTTCGAACAATTTGGGTTAAAGTAAAACATAACGAGACAGCCCCTACCTGATGAGCATCAAGAAAGGCCAAACCGATCGTGAACAGTCGAAGGGTTTTCAGCAACCCCGTGAGCAGCATCTTTCATGAAAATACACACACCAGCTGCAATATGAGGTGTTTTTGTGCAGCACATTCAGTTGAAGAATATCACAAAAAAGAAATCCAGCTGAAGTCTAGATGAATCATCATTATTACCAACTGGTAAGCGGGTGAGTGTTTGTGGAATTTTGTACAATTTAAGTCCTTGTAGAACATAGGGTTGGCGGAAACTCGGAGAATACTTCTGACTGACGTTTACCGCAGAAATAAACAACCTTAAGGACTGGTCCTTTTACGTCAATAAACGTTCACGTTGACTGCGTTCTTGTGACACACTTTATCTGGTTCTTTTCTCAATTTTAACAGATGGCTAGTGATAAAAGATACTTATCTACTCTACCTAAAAAGATCCGTCAAAACGGACCAATCAGTTGAGGAGATGGACATTGAACGCTTCTTTCAAACTGGAGCCTTTATGAATAAAGTGAAGCGACAATGGAGGTTTTGCAAAGTTCTACTCATGGATCAGTCGTTTGCCTTCATTAGAAAGGTTGAAACTAATGCGAGGAATTACTACCTGAAGGTCTACAACACACATGGGTAAGAAGTCCTTGTCTTTAGCAATGTTACAAAACTGGTACTTCACGTATGTGCAGTAGATAATATTGGTGGGTTTTCCGATTAGCATTTGGGCTACACGAAATCTTCACTGCTTCGCAATGGTAGTGCTATTTACGCATAGTAGATTTTAAAATATCTACTTTTTTGAAGTTGGGTTTCCATTACCTTCTCAACTGGCTCTCACGGATGTGGAACAAAAACAAACTGTCAGACAATCAATTGGAAAATATTTGGGACCGATTGGGAAGTCATTGTTTCAGAGGGTTTTGGTAGACAATAAATAAGCAATAAATCCACCGATTGTTTACCAAAACCCTCTGAAACTGTCAGACACATAATAGTAGCAGCTAATAAACAGGAGACCTTATTTTTGCCACAACATCATTAATGCGGTTGCCGAAAACTCCAGTTATCGGTTGTACCCTTAAAGGAGATCGTCTCCATATTGAACACGAAGCAAAGTTTTAGATATCCCCAACAATGACGTTTCATTTAATTTCCATCAGCTGAATGGATCCGAGTCAAACGTATGCATTTTATATGTAAAGACAGAAAATCCTAAACGAGAGATTCAGCTGGGTTCAAGTTGAGTCTCCCGTCAAAACCAGATTGGTATGTACTTAGCTAAACGCAACAATACTTTGGGCGAAGCAAGTATGTTCAAAATTTGGATGAGTGCTGACTGAATGAAGTGATTGTGAAAGAATTGTGTGATTCACCTTAAAGTGTTCTACAGTGTTCTGCTTTTGTTCGGACTGTGCAATCGCATTGGACGTGAGAAAATATGTTCATCAACAGAAGGTAAATATGAAGAACTTGCTGGAATAGTTGAATTTGGAAAACGGATGAGCTGTATTTCGCAAAAACTGGGGCCTATCCAGCAGATTGATAACTTGGAGTACCTTCTGGTAATCTACTCTAACAAGTTCCTTCTGAAAGTGTGAGGATAGCGTAGCTGGCTCGCAAAAACATTCTGCATGAAATGTCTCCCACGGGTTGTGGTAGAAAATGATTAGTCATGTCGGCATTCTAAGGTATCTTCGTTGACTTGTCGGTTATCATTTGTGCAGATCTCAACGCGTATCGTCAGAAAGTGGCGACAGTACGTACTACTAATAGAGCTAATCTTCCGAGTCAGCCTCAACAAACTAGTAGCACTATAGGGCCTTATGGACCGAAGAAATTGAGGCACACCAACTTTCAGCAGCAGCTTTAGTAAGAACCTTCGAGCAATCACGTAACCAAGTCTGGACAATCGTCTGACCAAGTTTTCCATGGTGCTAATTCAACCGACGTACGTCTAATCTGTGACACGCTGTTGCATCTAGTTTAACATATTTAGTCGCTTCGCTTAAATACGAATTGGCTTGTGAATGTTGTATAGAGTCGATCTGATGATCTGAAGTTTATGTTTGGGACAAGAATATTGAAATTACTAAAGCTTGTGCACTTAGAAATACTCCTGCATGTTTTGTCTGCAATCAAAATTTAATTGAGTTCAACATTTTAAATTCGAAACTCTGTTTATAATGCTCTATCCACCTACTCAATTCCAAGGCGCTTGATTTTCGCTTGCCAAAGTGAATGGCATCTACAGAACTGGGTCGACGAATTGGCTACGGTGCTAAGTACAGAAGGAGCGCGAGATTATGTGGATGATCACCGTTTTGGTTCCTTTGCCCCTCCACGACCCAATACACATGTCACCGTGTAAGTAACCGTCTTCGACCGCAGTTGTCTCTAGCCCCATTACGAACGTGTCGTCTTCATTCAAAGCAGGATGTGTAATCTCTGATCTTTTCTGACATGTTGTTAACCCTTGCTAGACAACTTGACAGTCTGTAGGCAATGAGGTTTTTTATTCGGAGTGAGGAGGTGGCAGTTACCCAGCGCTGAGCTTCGGAATCATCCAGAAGATCTCATCATGTCTAGCTTGACAGCTGTGGTCCACGAGAACGTCGTCACCACATCAACTGATGGTCATTTGGCACGAAACGTATCAGCTTCGTATGGTGGAGCAGTTTCCGATCTAATCTAGCGAACTGTTTGGTGCTTATCAGACTGTCCACGAGGACCGATGATCAATTGAACTGCAACATCGTCATCATCGACGGCATGAAATCAGTGTTCAACACCGATGCTTTGCTGCCGTACAACCGTGATTTATTTGAGAGCCTTATTGTGAAGAAAAGGATGAAGCTGGACGGGGAAAGGTGCTTATTGCTGGCTTACTACAATCATTCCGAGGTGCCTACACCTTCAAACACCCATTCAAACAATCTGGATAGAAGCTGACAACAAGATCTCCACTGACATCAGTTAGTAGCCATATCTTGCAGCGTCTCCAACTAGGCGCAGTGAGGATCACGCGGTCCCCATGTGGGAAGGCGAGTCGCACGAACAAAAACTTTTCGTGACTTTTTTCATACTCCTCTGCCAGGTCAGGGGTTGGCCACCTCTCTGCTTCCGGCACTCTTAATCGGGCATGGACAACAGCATCTTCGGCAAACCATGGTTAGACATACGCAACACATGTTCCAGCCAACGCGGCTTCTAAAGCTGGACACGTTGTTCACTGGAATTACCTGTTGCAAAAACGAAAACTAGCTTTCTAATCGCCTCGTTGCGTATATGCAGACACCAAACCATGCTAGATAGTCATTGTCGAACTGCCCAGATATAGCTTTTAAACCAAGTTTAGTAACCCACAGTGAACCCAAAGTAAAGTTTAACGCAAGGTTCACTCTCAACAATGGTCTGATGTTCATTCGTATCCAAAAAAGAGTCAGGAACCCCATTTAGCTGCGGCTGTTTCCATTCAATGGACTGCCATAAATTTCGAGTGAAAACATACAGCATTTCACATCCTGTACCTAGCTGAGTTTATACCGAGTCCGTTTGAATAACACGGTTAAGAAACAAAGAATTTAAACTTTTTGCTTTTATCTCTTCGGTCGCAGTACTATTAGCCATCAATTTTACTTCATTAATAGGGACACATATCAATAAAATGAACGGAGTCAATCGTACTGTGATTGAATCAGGTCTGGTTCTTAATTCGGAAGGGAGCTGAGGGCTTGCGCCAATGTCTTTTAGGTCGAGTCGGTAGTGAGTGATCATGATAGCAGTGCTGACTCGGGCCCCTCTTCGTCGAAATATGCGTAGTGCGTAGAAGTGTTTCTGCCAAAACTTCCTCGGAAGTGACCTCGGTGGTGAGTTATCAAGCCATTTTTCAGTTGACAGCACCTATCAATGTTCACAATTTAGCCTCATGAGTCTATTCTGCTTAGTGGTTTGAGCTGTTGCAGGGGGGGTGCCGAGTCATACCGTTAATTGTCAAAGTTACGTCAAAATTAAACAATGGTTTGCCCCACCTGGAGCTGTTCACCTAGACTAGTAATCGCCACCATGAGAATTTTGGTCAGTGTGCCGACTGGTACACAGGTACCTGCTGTGAATTGACAATCAAATGTGCTGTCTGTTTCCAGTTGCATCACTATTACCTGGGTCACCATGATCCCCACTATTTCTTGTGAGAAGTGTGTGAACTGGCTAGGTTCATCTGAGCTGCAGACTCTTCAAACTTGAACTTGTACATTTTAATTAAAACGAGTTTCAACTTTGCAGGGTTTCTCATGTCAATCTGTTCTACGATTTTACTATAAAACAAGATGATTCTCGCGATCTAGATTTCTCTCAGTGGAAGTATAGAGATGGTTCAAAGTAAGGTGAAATGTCTTGAGTGGCTTGAGAACTGATGAGTCGTATGCTTTTCAGGGCATCCTAACTGGATAGAGATTTGTCGTTGGATTCTCTATTAAGGCAATTTAAGATTCAAGGACAACGTGCGGATGAGCCTGACAGAACAAGCTACAAGCCATGCCAAGAAAAAAATTCTATTCGTGGTGAAAACAATTTATCAGACTTTAGCATAATTTGCACTTATTCAGATTCGAAAAATCTGTATCCATTCTGGGTCGGCAGCGACCTGTATTAGTTTTCCCACTTGAGTACAAACTTTAGATTCATACTTGGTTCTGTTTAGATGTGACCAAAACTTTAGAGTATTAGTCATGGCAGCGTGCTGCTTTCCACCTGATGACTAATTAAGTCTGGCTGACTCATTTAGTCACCAAAATACATGTTTAAAGGGCGTGTCATCCTGGTCACACTTTTTCTCTATATACATGTTTTGTTATCTGTAATTGTTGCTCATGTCGTTTCCAGATCTATTGTGCGGATGTCTCATTCTATCGGTGGTATTTTGTCAATGTTCTATTGTTAGGCTCTTGGCCGCATATTCAATGGCACAGAAAGAATTCAGTTTTTTTTAATTTCGACTCAAGCAAAAGACAGTTTGCGTTAAATGCATTTTTACAGTAATGAATCACTATGATCAGTATGATTCACGGTTGGATACCCATCGATCTTATGAAGAACTACCACTATTTTGCGGTTGATCAGCTATTTATTAGAACGGTCCTTTTACTATGAGCTGACCGGTTTTGTTAGTTCACCTCCCTACAGTACACGGACAGTGAGATGTTGGACAAGGAAAGAACTACAAGTAGTTGAGACCTTTTTACAAGAAGCAAAATGCTAGAATCATCGAGTTTATTGCTTTCCAGGAGGTTCGGATAGGACCCAGTGCTCCAGAAAAAAAGCAAATTCTCCAAGCACCAAGAAAAATAAGACCATACTTCATGGCGTTTCACATCCAAACTATTCAGTAGGATACAAATTTGAACCCCATGACTGTTCCAGAAAATCAGGAAAACACTCATTCTCTTGGGGAACGAAGCCCACTGAGGGTTTCAGAAAAGGTACCTCATTAAAATTTTGTCAATGAAATGTTCATTCTAACTGTTTTGGGGATACAACATCCAAGTAGGAGCCGGTTGAGAGGCCAAATATATTTCCAAAAGATAAGAAATTTCCTTACTTAGTAGCAAGCCTTCAAGCCTGTGAGAAAGAAGTGTGTTTCCGCTCACGCATTCTGGTTTTCTCCGCAGTTTACTTACCGAAACATCTTGTTTGCGTACACCACGAGATTTCTCAAGAACACCTCTTCAGATTGACTAAGTAAGAGTGCTGTGGGTGTTTTGATCGTTAGCCAATCACCGGTGACTTACTGCAAGCAGTTCTGATCGCAACACACTTTGGCACAAAACTGCTGACCTTACTTGCGAAGTATCGTGTATTACAAGTCAATCGACGAGGAATTTAAAGCCCCCAAATGCAGCTGAGACAAGATTTACTCATGTTGAACCATTTGTGGTAGCATCAGCTGCAATTAGCTCATAGGTAAACATTTCAAGGGAGTGTCGTTTAGTTCTATGGAGTCCTCAGAAAGACGTTCATTCTACAGTAGTGTGATCAACCTTCGCTTTCAGCGATAAGTTATTTCTTTGGTGGCAGAATACTCCGTGGCACCGTTCATGCATTACCCACACGATGAATGGTGTCGACCACATTCGTGTGTGGAACGGTCACTGTTATGGAATGCATATCTCCATCGAAAACCGTTACGTGCGCAACGGTACTGCTGTATACTTGTTTTCGACACCAAAATATATCGAACTAAGGTACCAAGAAATTGGAGAACAACTTCAGTCACGGTGATATGTTTTCAATTACCGGTAAAATCTACTCTTAAAATGTCAGAAACATAATTTACCGGTTGATCAGACAGCAGCTAACCTGTTCGCCGATCTTGGCAATCAGCTTGTGGACGTTTCATCACCTACTGGTACGACTGCGTGTCCACTTGCAGCCATGCGTCTGTCTTTAGGATAACATTAGTTCATTTTTTGTTTGTATGACTAGAAGACCTTGTGAAAAGCGACACAGTGGCGGAAGACTATTTGAAGTAATAAAGGACGTGATCTAGGCGATACGAATGAATGCTACGTAGCTTTATAGCTGTTAAAAGTCTAAGTTAATTATCTTACCTGAAACATTGCATCAAACTTGGAACAAAAAATACCGTTACCAGTAAGTCGTGCCCTACTTAACCTCATGATGCAACAAACAAGATCGAGCTTTAACCTTTCATCGCTGATAATAATTCGTCTGCATCATCATGTGAAGCGTGATCGTCGAGAAACAGCAACTTAATGATTTCGATGCATGATACATTTTCTTTTTACTGGAGACGAGGTAAACTTAAGTAATCTTTGTTTGATCTTATTCCCGAAAAAAGGTCGCCCCCATGAGAATTCAAAATGATCTTCTTTGGTTTTGGCATCTTTTCGGGGCGTCAAAATGATTTCCACTATAAGCAGATAAAACTTATGTTTCTTAGAGTGAACAGAATAATAGGTTGGATCCGTATGTACAATAGGGTACAGGATACTAACAGCTGATTGGGTAAGTGAAATTCTGGCTGTTATATCGGAAGGTAAATAATCTAACAAGTGGAGACATTGGATAACAGACATGAATGAAACCTATCCGACTACAGAACGTCTATCAAAGCTGGGCCTTGTTTTTTATCGTTTTTAGAGGGAAATGACTTCCCTCCAAGGTGCATGGATCTGAGCCATTAAAATTCAAAATGTGGCCACCGATGTCGCATTTAAGTGAGCTACGAAAAGTATATATATATATATATATATATATATATATATATTCTCAAAGGCTAGAAGAAACCTAACCAGGGTAATAAAATTCACCAGGTCAATCACCATTTCCACATGATACTCTCGGTT